AAAAAAAAAAAAATAAAAAAAAAAAAAAAAAAAAAAAGAAGGAACGTCGGATAAAACTTATCGTTACCAGCGTCACGTGTATACGTATGAAATACGTATAATTGTTTTCGCACAGTGTCAAGGTAACGAAGGTTTCGTTGTGCGGTCATGTGCGCGAGAAAAAAACTTGTGCGAGCATGAGGCGACAAAAAAAGCAAGAGAGAGAAAAGGAGAGAAATGACTATGGAGATAGAAAAAGAAGAAGAAAAAAAAAATAGGTCGCGAGTCAGTTTCGCTTGGTTGATATCTGTCTGTCGCGGCCAAATCGCATCGTCAAAACTCGCCCGTCGATTTTCACCAGTAGTAGAATATATATTCGAGAAGAGAGGTAGCTCGACATTAGCGGTTCAACTTCGCTGTTGACGGATCACGTGGCCAGAATTCAGGCATTCTCTGTTGGCACCGGCAGCCAAGCTGATTTATCGAGTATCGTGGCGTTGCTGATCTCACTCTCGCTACGGTTAAGAGAACTCCTTGGTAATCTGTCGAATGCCAACCATATCTATCCGAGTCAAAATTATATCCCCGATGCAATGAATTCAGCTCATTCAACTATTACAAATTTTCTCTCCTTCTCTTTTGCGTTGCGTTTTTCTTTCCTTTCCCGATTTATCTATGATCACGTGACTTTTTACACGCTTACTACATTAATCATTTAGGAATGGAATATTGATTTGATTTAATATGCATGTGTGTTTTGTAAGATTAATTTATTTTATTTTGAATAATTGAAAAAATTCTTAATTGGGAAGCTCGTTATTAAAGAATTATAAGAGCTTATCAAATAATAATCTGATAAATAATAAAAAGTCTTTTGGATACAAGGTAACGATTAAGTTATATAAGTAAGTAATTTTCAAATTTATTTAATTACTTTTTTATCAATGGGCAAATAAAATATCATTCCATTTAAATCTGTTTTTAATTCAAAATTATTTTTTCAAGGAATAACATCAACGTGTGCAACGATGTATGACGCGAATGATTTATTATAAATCAACGC